GGACCCCACATAAGCACTACCTATCCTGCGTCCATTTTTGTTGCTGTCAAACGGTGTAACGTAAGAAGTTAAAAGTCTGCGGCGGGGGGACTGACTCATTTGCCGCAGGATGTTGTTTCATTTCCCGGAGGCAAAGGTAGCTTAAGTAGTGCACCTCATATACCCCTAGCCCCAACATTTCGTCTTAGGGAAACGGTGGTTTTAGAGGTTTTGGGGATGGAGGGAAGTAAGATAGGCAGTGAAGTAAATTTGTAGAAGTAAGTTTAAAGCGGGAAAAATGCAGTTGAATTTGTTTCGCACATGTAAATTAAGAGTGTGCGCGGCGCTTCACGCCACGGACTATACTAATCTAACTCCAAAACGGTAAGTCGGACGTTAGGTAAGTTGAAATAGACGTCCTTTTAACCACCATTTGTATTTTTTCAGGAATTTGAAGAAACTGGCATTTTTAAAGTCGGGTTTTTCTGTAGTACGTTAAACCATTATACAGATAACGAAAATCCATAGATATAAATCAACGATATTTCTACATAAAATAAAGCTGCGTATAGCAGTTATTAAAGCATATTCCACAGCCTGTCCTAATTCCCCACCCATAAAACTCTTACAGCCACCGTTTCCGTAGGACAAAATTCTGGGACTAGGGGTATGTGCGGTGCACTAAATAAGCTACTGTTGCCGATTTTCCTTTCCCGGTGTCAATTAGGGCAGGGCATTTCTGTTCTTAGAACTGGTTTCGTGAATGATATGTGAGTGATTTAGGGGTCTGATAGGGAGAGCGCGCGTTTCGCACGTGAGAACTTTGGTCCAGATGTCTGGTTAGCCCCCGTATTCGATCTCATCTCGGAACGCTTTCAACTGCTGCGCTGCAGTGTGTATAAAGAGACACAAGCCCTTATAATCCAATTTACCGGCTAGGCACAACTGCTTTCGCGTATTGTTTATCCTGTGAAGTTATTTTGGTCGATCTGTCAAGAATCTTAACGCTAGAAATTACGAAGAGGCGTTGTCACTGTTTGCGGATCTGTCGCAGTACAACCAAGGCGAGAATGCTCTTCGTCCAGCGTACCCGTTTCAAACACAAAGGGTTTAAAATTCGCTTGCCCTTGTAGTTCTACTGATCCCGGTACCTCCACCCCATTCCATCCGTCTAGGTAGCTGTATTCTGTTGCTAGGAAAGGCGCTTACACGAAATAAGGGAGAACGGCCTCCTAAGTGCAAACGCGTGAATCGCGAGCCAATTAATCCATGTTTCCGTAACTAAAGTCAAGAAACAAATGCTGTGATTTCCTCTTCCAGCTATACCTTTTTTCGGATAGAGTAATTAGTGGGTGAACATACCTGCTCCGTCGCTGGGTAAAAGAATAATTTGAGGTATCCAGATCCTCTGCCGCCTATCATCGTCATGCGTAGAGAGAGATACAATACGTGACATAATAGAGGCCAGCTAGATCAGGCACGATCACAGCCCCCAGTTATGCAGTATCGATGAGTCAAGTGGCCTTGTAATTACCTTGCTAATAAACAATAACGATGGTGCATCAACGACTACGCTGCTGATTACCGGGCAATAATCGCCGCAAGTACGACCACCTGCTGACAGCCGCAAATGTTAGCTGGGTCTGTGGTCTCGCGGCTGCGGTAGGCCTTCGTTGTTTTCTGAGGCGATGGGTCCTAATTTGAATCAACAACTTCGGAGGACTTGCAGTTATGTTGCAGCTCACACTTATAAGTGTTTTTTTTCGGATTTCATTGTAATCTCGGCTTACCATTGTTCTTATTTTTATTTCTGACTGTCTGACTGTCAGTCGCCTTACTTTGTTTTGCCACCATTTTATGC